CAAGTACAAGGCCTGAAGAACCTACTCCAGGGCCTAGGGATTGTAGGTACTCTAAACAACCAGGAATCTACACCAAAACCATGTGAGCTATAGTCTAAACTCCTAGCATGCACCTTAATAAGCCCTATAGTAGTCCCCTATATAATCCCCTATATAAGCCCCCTTTGAGGAGCTTAGACTATAGCTCATGTTGATGTAGGGCCACTGCTTTTTTACTACGCCCGCGCACGTCTTCTCGGGGCCTCTTCTTCGAGGAGGATCCAAATGCGAACAAAGAATGGTCGAACTTCTTGCAGAGCTGCTCCAGCTTTTGGCTGTCCTGCAGTTACATGCGGGGTATATAGGGGGTATATAGGGACAATGGAAAAGAACATGGAAGCTACTATATTCTTCAGGGTTTAGGGTTCAAATAGCAAAGCTGCAACCTTTATGCTTCTGCTTCCTGCATTTCTGGGACCGGACAACTCCGCCTCAGAGAGCCCGAACCCTAGCTGAAACCTAAGCCCAAAACCCTAAACCCTTAACCACGTGATGAAGCCATGATTGGAGGCTCCCCAAGTCTGCCATGCAGCTTCCCTTTCTGTGTCAGACCCTGAGCCGGGCTTGGAAGACCCCCAAACCCGGAACCAAAATAGTAATAATACTAATATGACTAGTAAAGGGTAATAACAATCATGTTAATAAACATAGAAAACAAGAATAGTAGAAGTCCCTGCCTCATACCTACCGAGCCCAGCTTTGTCTGAGATGCTTGGGACTGACACAGCAAAAGGGGTCCCACCCCACTAAGGCGACCGGTCTGTCCTCGAAGGGATGCTCCTCGTGCTTCCGCATGTAGAGCCTGGCCAGGCTCCTTAAACCGCCTATGTTATCTGCATATAGGTTATTACTACTATTATTATTCTTACTATGAATACTGTCATTACCATCACCACTATTAGTACTGTTACTACCACTACTATCATCTCTATTAGTACTGTTATTAGGACATGGCTAGGGTTCCTGACTTGGTCTTGCTTCACGAAAGAGGGGAGCTTTTGCGAATGAGGGCCTGATGTTTTGGGGATGTCTGAACTTCCGTCTGAATCCACACGAACGGGCCCAATGAAATCCCCAGTACACAAGTACCCGTCAAAGACCAAATGATATCAATGTGCTCTCTGACAGTCCTTACATACTCCTCTCGCCACATAAACGTGGTATGGACAGTTGTCAAAGTTTGGGGTCATTGGCCGCGCTGAATACTTGAGCTACGAAGGGTGTGGCAGGGGTGTGATGCGAAGACCCCCGGCGTTTTGAGAAACTCCAGCGTCATCCCCACAACCTACGTAGCGCCTAAGCCGCGAACGCACAGGAGAGGAGCAGTATCAATTTCAAGGACTAGCATGGCCAAAAAGATGAAAGCACAGGACAGCGTGACATGGACAGTGGTGCTCGCAACTGAGACATCTCCCGCAGGAAGTTGGACATGTCATTTGAGGTCCTTTCAGCGTGCAGGCTTCTTCAACAGTTCCTAGAAATGAGGGTTTGTGGGCTTGATGATGTGCAAGGATTTGCAAGGCTTTTGGGAACTTAGCGTTGGGGAGTAAGGCTTTCGAGCTACAGTGCCTGGAACATGTTGAGCGCCACTGCTCTCGTTACCTGCCTCCTGTTCCCCAAGCATCGACATCCTCAATTCCCGTAGGCCGCCCCCAAAATCAGAGCAATGTAGAAACTAATCTATCAGGTTGAAGTTTCTACTCTTGCAATATTTGCAATAATTACTAGGGCAAGAGAAAATGGACCCTACAAAGTAAGGATAAGTCTCCACGCCCCTTGCCGGAACACAAAGCCACGCGTACGCCCGGAACAACCAAAGTAAACCCTCAATTCTGAGCTATGAATGGAGAGTTTCCCAAAATTAGGTTCTGCGTGTCCCTGTACAAAAGATTGTAATACTTGGGGTCCATATTGGGGTCTGCCGATTTTGGGAAAGGACCAAATCCTTAACCCAAAGCACCTTAACCCTGAAAGCCGAAGCGGGTCTTTGTTCCCCGGATGACCAAGGCTGTCTTGCCTTCTTCCAAGATCTGCGCGTTCAGGGGTTTAGGGTTGAAGGTTTTAGGGTTTAGGCGTAAATGAATTGAAGGATCAGGGTTGAGGGTTGACACTTGGAGTTTAGGGTTCAGGTATCACATACCAGGCTGCTCTGAGTACTTCCCGCATCTACATATCGCAACAACGGAAGAAACAACAACCGCAATTTGGACGTGAAATAGCTGGAGGCAGGAGGGCACATGAGTTTGAGAATCTTGCAAATGTTGGTTTCAAACAGCTACTGAAGCTGATACGTAAATCCACGTGAATCTCGGCAGTAAAGGGAAGCTTGCTGTTACCCTGCATCTGCAAGCCTTGCGAGCATGATCGTCTGCAGACACCATGCTATAATATACCATAGTATATTATACTATACTGTAATATACTGTAGTATATTATAATATACTCCAACTTGGTAAGCTTGTTGCATCCTGCCTTTGGCTCTCGTTGTCTTAGGATCTTCTTGCCACGGTCTGGGCGTAGAGAGGACGTGGGGGCATTGGGAGTCAGCATGGCAAACAACGCAGCTGCTTCCCCCGCAGGCTGCACCATAGATATTGATACATGACAAAGCCTAGTCACCCTAAACCCTAAACCCTAAACCCTAAGAAATTTCCCCTGTGTACGCTCACTCCGTGCTGCTTAAGCTGCCTACTCTAGCTTGGCTCCCAACTATGGCCCCCCCATTTTGTAGCGACATGTACGGCATGCCAGCCACCTGGTCAACACCTCAGCCCTAAGCCCAAAGCTCGTCAAGATCAATTTCCTGTTCCAGGTTTAGGGTTTAAGGTTTAGGGTGAGTTTCCTGAACCCCTGGTAGAAATTAGAACTACAGCTGGTTACTAGGATGATAGATAACAGAAAGTAAAACGATATATTTACAAGGTATAGACCCCAAAATACTACAGTCCTGAAAATGGAGACCCCCAAAATCGTCCCTAATTTTCGGAAACCCTACACCCTATGTAACCCTACATAA